ATAGCGCGTGACGTCGCCGAGAAGGCCGGGCCACCAAAATCGCTGGCGAAGTCGGCCAATCGTGCGATTGACTCCAAAATGTCCAGTGGCGGGAGTGTTGCGGAACTCGCCAAGAAGCCGTTTACGCAAGTGAGGATCACTCGGTACGCAAAGAAGGTCCTTCCCCCGCGTGTGGACAAGCAAGTACCCCTCTTGGATCCGATAGTGAGAAGGAGCCGGATTAGGAGAGGAGCAATTCGCGTACTTGTCGCGAAAATCGGGGTTGGCTTGGTAGCCGCGGATGAAGCTGTTCCACAGGTCGTCGTCAATCTCGAAGGTCGAGTAGACTGCGGAACAATGATCCGGACGCCGTGAGAGAGCATCCGCAAAACGGTTCGACTTCCCGGGAATGTGACCGGGAAAGAAGTCGAACTGGTCGATGAAAGTCATCCATCGAGCGATGGTGCTGTTGACGGTGTCTTGGGTCTTGTAGAAGACCCAACGGATTGTTGTCCGTTACCCAGCGAAATTGGCTTCCACCAAGGAGGAAGTGCCGCCACCGCTTGAGCGCGTGGACGAAGGCGAGGAGCTCCTTCTTGCGTGCATCGTCAATGGAATGCACGAGTGGCACTTTCTTGCTGAAGTACTCGACCGGGTGCGAGTCCACACCATCATGTTGCTCGAGGTCTGCACCAATGCCATAGCCTGACGCATCCGTAGTGACACGTGTAGGCGCGAGCGGGTCGTATATCCGCAAGACCTCCGCAGACAATAGCGCGGCTTTGAGAGCGAGGAATGATCCCCGCGCCTCCTCTCCAGAGTCAAACGGTCGATCCTCGCACTGAAGCTTGTTCAAGTGGGCTGCGATCTTGGAGTAGCCTTTGATGAAGCGCTGATAGTAGCCGGTAAGACCGAGGAACGAGCGGACATTCGTGACGTTCCGAGGCTCCGGCCACTCTTGGACGRCCTGAATCTTGTCCGATAGCGGACTGATGCCCTCCGGTGTGACCAAATGGCCCAAGTATTCCAACTCTTGCCGGACAAATTCGCACTTGTCGCGGTTGGCCTTGTACTTGGCACGGTGGAGCGTCTCCAACACTCGTCGAAGATGTCCAAGATGATCCTCCATTGTTTGGCTGTAGACGAGAATATCGTCTAAGTAGACCAGCACGAACCGGTCCAACATTGCGCGAAACTCATTGGTCATCGCCGCGTGGAATGTCGTCGGGGCGTTGGTGAGGCCAAAAGGCATGACCACCCACTCAAAATGCTTGTACCGCGGTTCTGTAGCGATCATTCGGCTGAATCGAGATTTGATGATATCCTGATTTTAAATCCAACTTGGAAAAATACTTCGCACCGCCCAGCCGCTCGAGAAGATTGTCGATGCGAGGAAAAGGCCCCCCATTCTTGACGGTTTGCGTGTTGAGCTTGCGGTTGTCGATGCACAATCGTAGATCCTTGTTCTTCTTCCTGACGAAGAGAACTGGTGCTCCATATGGGGAGCAACTCGGACGGATCCAGCCCTTGGCCAACAAATCATTGAGTTGTGCGCGGAGTACCTCAAGCTCCTTCTCGCTCATCCGATAGATGCAACCTTTCGGCAGCACGGTTCCGGCCTCAAGAATGATCTCGTGAGAGATCGACCGACCCGGCACCACACCGGTAGGTGACTCAAAGATGTCGGCGAACTCGTCCAGCAACCGTACCACACGGGGGTCGGAGGATAAGTCCGTGGGTGAAGAGTCGGCTATCGCGACGGTCCGTAGGAAACATAGGCCGATCTCCTCGGACTGCTCGTAAGCACAAGTCGCCCAGAATGATTTGGCCGTCACCACTTGGCACCGGATCGAAGAGTGCGGTAGAGGAATAGTACACGCCACTTCCGTGCGAAAGGCGTCGCGAACGCTAAGAGTCCGCCGATGGAAGTGGACCGTGTGATCCGCACTTGCGAGCCAAGGCATTCCCAGAATGATGTCGAAGTCCGAGTCGAGAATATCGAATGTTATCGGTTCGCATGGATGAGGTGCGAAGTAGACCGGTACGGCCTCGATGTAACGGTCGAGAAGTTGTTGCGTCTTACCATCCGCAAACTTGATCGCCGTCGAGTTTGCCTTCCTTCGAACTTGTGCGCCAAGGCCAGCTCTTTGCATAAAAGACTAGCTCATGAAGTTGCGAGACGCGCCGCTATCCAGCAAAGCGCTGCATGACGCTTGCCCAACCTGGATGCGGACATACATGAGCGGTGCATTGTTGTTATCGTACCGCTGCGTGCGAAACTTGCGGGCCACCTTGGTAGTATATGCCAGGATGTCCCCCACCGTGACTTCGTCATCCGTCGGCGAAGTTGGTGGTGCATAAAAGGAAAGGTAAGTGTGGAGATGTGCGCTAAGTGTTGCGCATTGCGGTCCTGGCAGACAGCCTGTGGTCGGGAGAGGAAGCCATGCAAAGTCCTCAGACGTGAGCGGGTCCAATGCCTCTACATTGAACTCGCGCGCCGAATCCCGTGACGAACCACTTAAAGACGATCTGTCGCTGTTGTCGGACGGAGAAGAAACCGCACACACTCTTTGTCCTTGAGCTTGAGTACCCAGCATTGGAACGAGCAGGGCAGCATAGTCCTCAAAAGAAAGTAGAAGCGGAGGACTGTCGACTTCCGCGTGCGCCTCGGAATGAAGGCTGGTCACTCGCGAAGAAATCAGTTGCGAAGGCGTCGAGAGTGTCGTTGCGTCACTATCGGCGGTGCTCAGTTTCCCTGTCTTCCCTTGCCTTTCAATGGGCAAACCTGCGTCTGATGAAGATCGTTGTTGCACCAAAGGCAATAGTGGAATCTCTCGCGCGCCTTGTAGGCGGACTCGGAGATGCCATACGGGGTCCATGGGCCTGTTTGAGCTGTTGCACCGGGCTCGGGGCTAGAAACGGTGTGTGTCTTCGGCTTGCTGCGCCCTCGGCCTCTGCCGGCGCGGCCACCTTCCCGGGCGGCTGCGAATCTGTCTCCTTCACTGGCAGACGCAGCCTCGCTGGWTTGGTCTAACGACGCTGCCGCTGTGACCACGGCCACTCTTGGCCGATGCTGGTCCCTGCTCGGGCCTGATGCAGATGAACGGAGGTTCTTGGCCTCCTTGTTCGTGACGATGATCTGCGCAGCCTTGTCAAATAACTCCGCCGTCGTCGTCAAGGTGTCCTCGACATGCTTTAGGGCATTGCTCAATGTCAGACATGACCTTGAGATGAAGTAGTGGCGGATGGCCTTGAAGCCCATCTGGATGTCTGGGACTGACGTCAAGCGTTGGTACTCGGCGATCCAGTCCGTACTCGGCAGCATGCCTTGCTCGAAGACCATGAGCTTGTCCATGGCTTTGATCTTTGGCGGCTCCACCTGGAACCGCTTGTGCCACGCCGCCTTCAGATCATCCCAGGTGATCTTGGTGTGTAAGTCATTATCTACCACTCCGTATTTGGACAACTGGTTGTCCAACCAAGCCTGACACGCGCCCCCTGAGCGAGAGTACAAGTAGGCGTGATGCTTGTGTTCCTTGACGTTGTGGAGCTGCAGCGTGAGCTCGAACTTGCGAAACCATGGAATTGGATCTGTCTTGATTGAGTCGTGGAAGATCTCCTGCCCATGGAACTTAGGAGCTGTCTCGCGCGGCTCCGGACTCGAGGTGGTGGTGGTAGTGCAGATCCTCTGCTGCAACTGTTGCGTCACGGTCTGCTGTAACTGTGCCCCGTCCTGGAGGGAGCCGACGTGCATCTCCAATGCGGTGAGGCGGTCGACAGTATTGGAAGAGCATGCGTCGGTGGCGGCGACTGGTTGCTGCTCCAACCGCTGAAGGCGGTCTTGGAGATGAGCTACCGAGTTGTCGAGACCAAGGATCTCCGCCTGCTGTGTAATGCAGGTTGCCAGGAGGTCTGTGAGATGCAAGAGGAGGAGCGCTATCTTGTTTGCGCTATCTTCCAACTGGTTATTCTCCGCCTCGCTTCGCCATTCTGCTGCCATGGTAAGTAACGCCCGCTCTCCGGTGAATATCTTCTCACGACGCTGTGTTCTCTCTTCATCGGCAGCCCTTGCTGCTGCCTCGTCGTGCTGGCGCTGTTGTTGTACGGCCAGCAGGTGTGCCTGCTCGGCATCCTCTGCCCTTTTCTTGGCTGCTGCGGCAGCGTCATCTGCCCGCTTCTTTGTCTCGGTACCCCAGGCTAACATGTGGGCCTGACAGGCCTCGTCTGTTTCCCCGACCTTCTGGTCCATGACTGCCGTCTGTGAACGCAACAGCATAGACCAGACCGGTGCCTGCTGATGTGGCATCCCTTGCTGCTGACGTGGCAATGCTGACGTGTCCTGCTGACGTCTCCTGCTGACGTGTCCTGCTGACGTGTCCTGCTGACGTGTCCTGCTGATGTGGTCTGCTGACTTGGCCTGCTGACGTGGTCTGCTGACTTGGCCTGCTGACGTGGTCTGCTGACTTGGCCTGCTGACGTGGCAACTTACCAATGTCGTCACAAGGGGTACCCGGAGACAACCAGAAACGGCAAGGCGAGAGATGGCAACAACGTAGGTGGGGAGGGGTGGGTGGGATAATCGCCCAACTCACACTTAGATAAGGAGCCACTAATCAAAATGGAAAAGTTTGAACTTTGCAAAAAATTTTCGAGAAAATAAAAAATCCCGATTTTTGGAAGTTCGGTAGGTCTCCCAGCCTCCCTTGAAGTTCGAAATGATCACTGAAAGCAAAAGTTTTCGACTTTGAACTGAAACCGATTTATAGAACCACTGACAGAATCCAAGAACTGCGAAAAAAGTCCGAACAAAAATGACAAGTATTCGATTTATTCTGATGGGAATATTCGCAGTTTTGAAAAAAAAAAAATACGTGCAGGAGGTATTTCCCGTACCGTTTCAGAAAAAACGAATTTCAGAAACGAAGATATTCCGAAGTTCTAAGTAACGGGAAATGCAACAGAAAATCGAAACTTTCGAAAAAATATATTCCGGATTTTTTTTTTTTAACAACGAAATTTCGAATTTTCAGAAAGAAAAACGAAAATAGGAATTTCAGATGTTGCGATATAGCGATTTTCCACAGCAGAAAATTTTGATTTTTTTTTTTGTAGTAAGGTCAAGATCGTGATTTTGGGGTCTAACTAGTATGTCCTAATCAAACAGAAAAGACTAACTAGCTTTTTTATCCCCGCACACGTGTTAGATCAGATCGTCCTGATTCACGTGCAAAAGCTCGGATACCAACTGTTACATGCACAGATATGCAATGTACGTAATAAACCGAGAATCTGCAATGTGATGAAAAGGACTGAATAGACAATGCGGTACGAGTAGAATCTCGACAAGCAATGTACATTCTCATTCATACATAAAGATGCTGAAGAGCGCAGCGAAGACTTTGATTCAAAGATTGACCTGACAGGACTGACGTCATTCACGTATTTCAGAGTAACGAAGCAGAATGCTAGCGTACCTCTAACTAGCCCAATCAATGTTTGAACTCAGACTAAACATGCATTGTATCCATCACAAAGTGTGAAGGAGCCTGGCGCTGCACACAGGAAGAAAGCGCCAGGTCCAGACATACACAGACGAAGAGATAAGGATCAGACGAAAGGAGGGAAGAAGATGGGAATGTCGTTAACACCAAGTCTTGGTCACCAATCCCAAATAGTCCCTCGTTGCCATGTCTRAACCCTCKAACGTCCAGTCTGGATCAAATGTCACCAAGCTCTGTATCTCTTCTCTCATAGTCTGCAGATGCAGTGAAGTCAGAAGTGAGAGGGAGAGAAGAGATGGTGGACTGAGAAGAAGAAGAAGGAGAACTCTCTCTCTCTCTCTCTCTCTCTCTGTTACGAACCAGATACTAACCTGTGGTGTTGGCGCTGTGCTGCAGGTACCTCGAAGACGAAGTTGGAGCAACGGCGCTGCAAGTAGGTACCTCTGGCCTTCGCCCAAGCTCTCTCTCTCTCTCTCTAGTACTACCTAGCTATGGCGCCCAGCGCTGGAGACTACAGCTACCTACTGCGCCCAGCGCTGAAGACTACTAGCTAACGCTACAACTACTACAACGCAGCGCTCCCTCCAGAGTGCTGCACCCGAATCTAGAAGACTACTACTGCCAACTGCCTACCTCGGAAGTGCCTGGGAAGTCCTATGTACTACCTCGGCCTGCCTCCTGACTGCTGGAGGCCAGTCAGGCCGAGGAGGCAGCTCTTGCGAATGCCGAAATGTGCCAGGGGCTGGCGTGCACCAGCCAGCCTGCTTGAGGCTGGCGTGGGAAACAGACAATTAATAGTCTGTTCCCGAAACCCTGGTTCGGTGCCTGAGTTTCAGGGCCGGTCGTTCTGATGAACGACCAAAAATGGCCCTTCGTTTCAGGCTAAAAAGGCTGTTGCCATTTTTAGTYTGAAACGACCAGGGATAGGCCCTGGACTTCAGGCTTTTGGCCTGAACCGACAGGGGGCCTGTAAGCCCTGGATTTCAGGCTTTCGG